TATTAAGACAGGAAAAAAGGTTATTACAATAGTCTATACGAGGACACAAAAGCATGAATGATCAACTCTAAATCATCTTTGGAAAAAACTCTTCTAAGTTTGGAAATATTTCTAAGCTGAAAGAAACAGTTTCTAGTGAGTTGTTTGGGATAATGTTTTAGTGACATCCCTCTGTCAAAAATCACACCAAGACTTCTAAGGTTAGATTTGGCATAAGAGCTCAGATCACCCAGATACTAGTATTCTTGGGAAAACAACGTCAGGAGCAATCACCAGCACATCAGTCTTAATAGAGTTTAACTGCAAAGAATTAGTGCTAAGCCAGTGTTTAATTTTAACAAGGCAGTTCTTTAAAGAGTCTAGTTTATGAACCTCAGTGGACTTGAAGGAACAATATAGCTGGATATCATCTGCAAAAAGATGATAAGAAACATCATCACTARACTTTAATTATGTTTAATTAGTAAAGAATAATATTGTTACAGAAAGTAAATAATATATTCTGGTCAACTTCCTTTTGGGTCTGCCAGTGATGTAGCCAAGAAAAAGCTCAATATTAAAGACACTCCAACCAACAGAAGTCAGCCTAGTATACTCAGGCACAGTCAATTGGTCTAACAGAGGAGTCTAACTCATTTTCAGAGAGGGCCATATGARCATTGTTGTAGCCCTTAAAAGGCCAGTTGTAATTAACTTTGACATTTCGGCTTTAACTTCATCTAAACATCAAACATCACGGTCCTCGTCTCATTGCTATGGCTGAGCTCCACTAGCAAACAGGAACTGAGCTCTACGTGGTGTTTCCTGCGTAGAAACAGCGTTTTAAGACGCCCTCTTATAAACACTGAAAAGTACTATGTGTATGACTGACTAAATGTGAAAWAAATAATACAGAAATACTGTCAAAGTAAGAGAGTTTTACTCACTGTTGAGTTGTGGTGAGTAGCTGCTGTCTTGAATTCTAAATTCTCCCACTTTCCCAAAGGGAATCCACGCAAGAGGGGTGTTTCAGTTTAAATTTACGACTTGTAAGTGGGAAAATCTCACTTCCCAGTACAACTGGGCWGCARCTAAAGTAGCCAGCAAAAACGCAGCTAAATGGAGATTTTACACTGTATGGTCAATGCTGGCTTTAAATCAGTATACACTCATTTTAAGACATTAATACATATTCATAGCTGTGGCAGGCKACATAAAATGCAATGGATGGGCAACATTTGGCCCGCAAGCCTTGAGTTTGGCACGTAATCTAACAGATSGACACCCAGTTGTAAACCTATTAAAAGGAAAGCATATTTCAAGAAGGAAATAGTTCTGGTGTTTTACTGTTTTAAACTGATAAACCAAATATTATCTGGCATCACATGTTAAGGTGTAACGTTCAGCCGAACACTTTGAGTAAACTTTTGAAATCCCTTCAATAAAAATGTCTTTCTTGTATTTCTTTTGTTCAGGACCTCTGCGGCCACCACTCCTGCGACACCCTGGGCATGGCGGACGTCGGCACCATCTGCTCTCCGGAGAGGAGCTGTGCCGTCATCGAGGACGACGGGCTCCACGCCGCATTCACAGTCGCACACGAGATAGGTARGCACCAGAATAAAACAACAGAATCAGGCCGGGGCATGCACGTTGTCAGCACATCTCTGCTGCAGATTAACGTCACGTCATCCAGCCTCATAACCCGAGCGCCTGGTATGTTTTCTTTTCTCATTCCTTCTGCGCTAACAGATTCAGGACAAGTCCTGTCAGAGGTGCAGAGGCTTTTTGCACTTTCAACATTTTGTTATGATCTGAAGCTGATCYAAAACAGAGCTGGTTCATTTTCACTGGCCTACATTCTCTGTGTCCAAGAAACATTACTTGTAAAGGAGCTCAGAAGGTGATTTTGACTAAAATACCAAAGGCTGCACCAGCTGGTTACTGTCGGATCTAACATTTAAAACTTTTTTCCTGGTCTTTGAACGCACCATGCGTAGCACTATTTTCTGCTGTAGATTTGTAAAAGAGTGAAAAAAGCACTTCAACGTTTACTGTTTTGGTGCAAAAATGACACTTTAAAAAAATAAATTATCCTTATAATATTCAGACCCTTCCCTCAGTTTGGGTGGCAGAAAACATCCCGACATGATGATGCTGCCACCACCATGTTTGATTGTAAGGATGGTATTATTC